GAGGGACGCTATTTATGTTTCATTTGTTAGACGATGAATTCGAGAGTCACGGTATCGGGTTCGATTGTGAGAGCAGAGTCGAACTGGGAACATGGGTTATTCTTCTTCCTCTTTCATCTTCGACATCATAAATACCCATTCACTCGACCATGAGCATCGTAAGAGTGACCTTGCCCCCCCCCCCCCCTTCCTTCGGGCAGGAAAAACATACATGTGCCAAAGCACCATGTCCGTGAGCCGCGTATATATGTGTTGTGTCCATAATATGCACAAGAAATCATTCCAGAGAAGAAAAGAAGAAAAGAAGAAGAAGAAAAAAAAAAGTAAAACCAAAAAACCACACCCGCTCAAAACGAACGACCACCCCCTCCTTCACCGCTTCCCCGCAACAACTGCCCCGCAATACCCACCGCCACACCCCCCGCCATCCAATAACCCGCACAACGCTCCCGGGCAGCCGCATTCCCCGCACTCGCGCCATCGAACCTGGCGCAGGCCTCGACGGTCAAGCCGTAGCAGCCGACGCTACTCAGACTGGAGCAAATGGACTGGGCGCTTGCGAGGCCGACGCTGGGGACGGCGGTGATGGTTGCGCCGCCGTTGGGGGCACTGATGGTGACGCCTTGGGCGCCGCTGGCTAGAGCAGCCGTACACTTTGTAGCATCGCTTTGGCAAGCTGTATAAGCGCTGGAGCACGCAGCTGCGTTGGTGTAAGTGGTGGCTATGTAGGGGAAGGGGTAGAATTGGTTCTGTGGTTGGGTTTGTGTTAGTACATGGACCAATCTTCCTTTGCTTCTCTCCACATCCTGTGGTCTCCAAGACTTACCTGTACCGTGCTACCGGGACTCGTGCCGCCGGTCCCTTGTGAGAATGGATCGGTGGTTGTTTGGGCGGGGACAAATGGGCCAGTCGTTGTTGTAGTGGCGGTTGGCAGGCTGGTTGCAGGACTGTTTCCCAGGACGCCAGTGCAAGCTACGCCTTGGGGGCAACATGCGACTGCTCCTCGCTGGTCGACGGAACAGATGGCAGTGCGCGGACAGCACAGCCCCGGCGCACCTAGATTGTTACAGGCGTAGTGATTGGAGGCGCATGTGTTGCCTTGACGTTTGAGCAGTTCGACAACGCCATCTTGTCCGATGGCCTCGCTTTCGTTGTAGGCAGCGGGGAGTTGTTCGAGGGCTGGCTCGAATGCGGCGAATTTGTCTGGCGCGGCGAGGGCAACGAGTGGGGCGAGAAACAGCGGTGCCAGTGCTGGGCGCATTCTCGACGGTTGCTGGTTGTCTGGTAGCTCGAGTCTCGACGGAGACGGACAAGAATGGACTGTAATTGCGACTCGAACCGAGGAATGTCGTGGTTGTTGGTTTGGCGAGGCTGGAACCGGAGCAGCGGTGGATGGGCTATCGATAGTTGTGCGGCGGTGGGGCAATTGTCTTGCTTACCACTGCAACGGCCGTCGATGGTCAACGAGAGTGAGTGATTGTGGAATGCGCCCAGATGGTGGATGTGTGTGCTGCAATGGAAGTGAATCTGGTCGACGACAGCAGACAGGGCTGCATGATCGAACGATGGATGCCCGTTGTTGGGCTTGTCGCCCAGCCATGCGTTGGCAAGGGCAACGGCAAGCCACTGCATGGATGACCTCGCCTCTGATTGGCTTTTTCGCACCATCCCCCAACGACTCCAGGGCTCCCACATGCATCCGACACGGCTTTGTAGAGTGCCAGGGAATCGGATGGCGCAGATCACGGTAGGCATGGTTAACAAAGGTATGGCGATTGACCCTCTGCGCCAACACCAAAGTTTGCCCATAGCAAAGCCGAGCAAAAACGGTCATCTTTCCAACGATAGTCATCACCTGAGCACATTTGCGCCAATTCCAATCCTTGGCCCTCCGAAACACGGGGTATGGGTAGATGGCTTTATATACAGGACTGCCATATTTCGCTTCTTCTGATCATGCCCCTTGATCGACTTTTTTTTTTCATCCGCAAAGGGAGGCTTGGACGCGACCACACAACTCATCTCGACTTTCTGGTTGTGGGTGGCAATATGGGGATTTACGGGGATACCTACGACACACAGATACCCGTGCACAATGGGTACGCCCAAGAACCGCGCACGCCATAATAGCTGGAGTCCAGCACCTTGAATTCTGCCTTTGCGCGCATCTTCGCCGTTTCGTCTGAGAACAGTGGCAAGGGTACAAACATGCGCGGTTGCAAGGACATCACCACCTGGTGTCGCGAAGCCCCGAATTGATTGGTGAAAAAGGAAGAAAGAGCCGAGCACACTCCGATGATGAAGGAAAAGGCCGTCAAGGGACTGCGAGGATATGCGACGTAAAATAAGCACAATCGTTTCTCTTTCGCAATAGGGAAGCGATGGGGCGATGAAGCTTGGGAATCGTGAGAAGACGGAGAGTAGGAGACTTTGCAAAGTCGCTTTCCAAACAAGATGATGTTGAGTTTCTTGCATAACTCTGAAACCTTGACGGGGTGCGGGTAGGATGGTGGGTGGTGTGTCGTGTTGGAGAGACAACACAGTCATCTCGAAAGCCCAGCTCTCTACAAGACAACGAACGACAGCCAGTAAAAAAGAAAGGGAATATAGCAACACTACCCCGTGCGGTCCAACAAGTTCCAAATCCTCGGCGGACAAATAAGGCAGCCTGGGAAAGAAGGGAAAAAGTACGACGTTTCAGTGTACATGTATTGGGAACAAGTGGCTACACCAACCTACCGTAGAGTACATGTACTACTCCCACGATTCCGTGTCGCACAAGTCCATTCGACTGCAGCCTCCTTTCCCGCCATCTTCCCGGGCTCGCGTGGCACATCGCCGTTCCTCCTCCTAGAGTACTCCCACCAGCCTCTCGTCTTCGGCCCCATGGCACAGCATGAGACCACGCCTCGCGGCCAAAGCTGCGTCATCCGGCAGGACCAAAGTGCAAAAGTGTGGAAATGTCAAATTTCCTAGCGTTGCAATGTACAAGATTCGCAAGGTACTTTGGGGTCATTTGCGGGTGAGAAGCGTTGGATGGCTTGGGATTGTCGTTTGAGGAAGCAAAAAGCCACGGAGGCGTGAAGGGAAATGTCGGTTGCGGGCTGTTGGGGGTGAAGCGAGACTTGACGGGTACGGTACGACCAACGGCGGAAAGTCATGGGCGATGTACTACCGTGATTTACGGCGAAAATTGCAATGGCAAATCAATCACCTTCCCATAGGGTTCTGTCACACCTCTGACCTTCTGGCACCAATGTGGGTTTTTGTTGGTGGGTTGGTTGCATTCACCCTGTTAGGTACGTTTTCGTTGCGCCGACCCCACTGTTTCCCCAGCATTCTCTCTCTCTCTCTCTTTGCAGTCTCTCTCTTTGCAGTCTCAAGTCAAAAAAAGTTCCCAGCCTGTTTCCTTTTTTCTCCTTTCCGGTTCGTCAGGAGTCCGTGCCGCAGGATAGTGTTTTGGTCTGCGTGTGCACAACACAGCCCAGACAGGCCTCCGCGGCTAGGGCTGGCAGTGTCAGCGCGTCCATGGGCACCTGCTGCAGCTGCGACACCTCGCCACAGGAACGCATATCTGGACCATGGCCGGCCGCAAAGGAGTGGAACGGAATGGGCGCTCACGGCAGACTTTGCAGACTGACTGATAGCTGGCCTGGCCTGTACCTACCCGGAGAGAGGGACAGCCGATTCTCCTGGGTTTGGGGCGGGGCGTGTCCAAGTCCAACCGCCATCAGCGCCGCGCGCGCTGTTCTGGGGTCAGTTTGGATCTGTGGCGAGGGTGGCTTAGCGGGTGCAGTAGTCGAAAGCTTGGTATGTTGGCATTCGACATGGGCAAGCCTGGAGTCGTGCAGTGAGTGCAGTGCCAGTTCCCAAGGTTGCCATCCAATGCCTCTCTCGCTTTTCTCTCGCTGTCTGCCTCTGCTGCGGCGACGACGCTGCACCGTGCACGTCCACCTTGTCGCGGTTGCGATTGATTATCGTGGGGCCACATTGGGCACACCACCCACCGTCAGGCCTCCCACCTCGCCCGGTTCAGCAGAAGGGGTTGCAGGTGTTGCAGCGCCCCCGCCGCGTAGGGCTTATTGTGCCCTATCTAACCTCCTACCCACACACTCTCCTTGGCCTGGCCTTGTGGGGGGAAGATCCGCCGCCGCCCCCACAGCGATTGGCCGTCCACGATCCCACAGCGCTTCCTGGGCGTTTGAAACAAAACGCTGGTCCGGCGATTTCGTTCTCGTGCAAGATCCGGACAAACAAACATGGGTTTCGCACTGCACTGGCCCAATGATGCTGACAGCCTGCCCTCGCCCCGGTGTCCAATGGCTGCGGCGCAGCTCAGATGTTTGGTGCACGCGATGGCAGCCTCTGCTTGGAAAGGGAGGGAGTCGCCCTGGATGCACTCGTGGCCGGTGTGTGTGTGTGTGTGTGTGTGTGTGTGTGTGTGCAGCAGCCTGCATTGCATAGCTATCCATCCGGGGACCCGTCATGGCTGTTTGGTGAAGGGCAGGGCAGGGCAGGGCAGGGCAGGGCAGGGCTTACCGTAGGTGCCACCACCATCTTACCTACTGTACTTACTGTACCCCCCTTCCCCCCTTCTCCAACCACCGTGCCACTGCGCCTTTTGGACTCTGAAGCTTATATAGCCTTTGGCTCCTTGTACTTGATTGCCCTCCGCCCATCTTTACTGCCGTTGTCTCTGCGCTCTTTGTTCCTCCTCCTAGTACGGCCTGATGCTGCATACGGGCAAATATACGTAGGCTAGATAGGAG